GCTCTCGAAGAGCTACTTTTGGCCAAAGATGTTTCGGGACGTCAATCGCTTCACCAACCGATGTTCGACATGCCGCAAAGCTAAGTCCAAAGCTCAATCTCATGGTCTCTATATGCCTTTACCAATTCCATACCAACCTTGGGAGGACATAAGCATGGACTTTATACTTGGTTTGCCAAAAACTCGCAATGGGAAAGATTCCATATTTGTCGTTGTGGACCGTTTCTCCAAAATGGCACATTTTATTCCTTGTCACAAGATAGACGATGCTTCACATGTTGCTAATCTCTTTTGTAGGGAAATATTGCGTCTCCATGGTGTGCCAAAGACAATTGTCTTGGACTGCGACGTCAAGTTCCTTAGCTACTTTTGGAAGACCCTATGCGCCAAGCTCGAAATCAAGCTACTCTTCTCCACGGCGTACCATCCTCAAACCGACGGCTAAACGGAGGTGACAAACCGCACACTCTCTGCTCTACTTCGAGTACTCATCAAGAAGAACATCAAGGAGTGGGAGGAGTGCCTACCTATCGCCGAGTTCGCCTACAACCGAACAAGACACTCAACAACCGGCAAGTCGCCTTTCGAGGTCGTTTACAGATTCAACCCATTGTCACCATTGGACATTTTTCCTCTACCACTCCAAGAGGGCATCAATTTGGACGCAAGTGCGCGTGTGACACATCTCGAGAAGATGCATGAAGATACAAGAAACACCATCGAGCGCCAAGTTCAACGCCTTGCGACCAAGCTCAACTTCAACAAGCAACCTATGGTCTTCAACACTGGTGATCAAGTGTGGCTACACCTTCGCAACGACCGCTTCCCACAAGAACGCAAATCCAAGCTTCGACCACGAGCAGATGGACCCTTCAAGGTGCTTGCACGCTACAACGACAACGCTTACAAGATCGACCTCCCGCGCAACAAGTACAACGTGAGCGACATCTTCGACGTCAAAGATCTCTCTCCCTTCCATGGTGATGAAGATTTTGATCCGAGGACGGATCTTCCCCAAGGGAGGGGAGATGATGCGGAGCATCCCAAGGTCATCCCCATGGACCTACCATCGTCTCATCAAGTGCCTACCGGACCCATGACTCGATCACGTGCAAGAGCCCTTGAAACCGAGATGACATCTCTCCTCTCACAATTCCACTTTGATGCACATGAAGCACGGCTACTACCTCATATGGATACTTTGTGCATACTCAGGTACAATGGAGAAGCTAAGGAGCAAGGACAAGAAGAAGAGGAAGATGGATGAGAAGACGGAGAAGAAGGGCTGCCGGAAAAGACCCAGCCACCGGACGACCGGCCAAGACCGGACGTCCGGCGCCTGAAGCATCTGCCGAGTCCCAGCCAGCGGACGTCCGGTCCAGACCGGACGACCGGTGCCCCGACACCCGAAGCAAACGAGCGGACATCCGGTCCAGACCGGACGACCGGTGCCCCTGCACCCGAGGCCAATGAGCGGACGTCCGACCCCGACCGGACGACCGGCGCGACCGCACCCAAGCCAAAGTCAACGGAAGTCCGGAGCCTCCGGACGTCCGGCACCCCCATCATAGAGCGGAACCAGCGGACGACCGGAGGACACCGGACGTCCGGCAGCTCCTGAGACACCGGACGACCGGTCCCCAGCGGACGTCCGGTACCTGTCTGCGCACAGTGTTCGGGCCTGAGGCCCATGTACCCCTTCACTTCGCCCCCATTTGCACTTAGACTATAAATAGACCCCCCATTCATCCTAGCTAGGGTTAGCATTGGTTTAGCTCATTTGAGAGATAGAGCATTGCTCATCCATATCAGATCTACTCCTCGAGAGAGACCGCGGCCCCTCTTCAGAGAAGATCCACCTTGGATTCAAGACCTCCTTGCGGAGAAGATCCCCTTGTGGATTCAAGACCTCCTCACGGAGGAGAACCGGTTACCGTGTATCGTCCCTAGTTGTCCGTGGATTCGTGTATCATTCTATGTACTCGAGGATCTAGCCCATGTGTGACTTATTCATGTCGGTTTAGTGATTTCCTCTTGTGTTTACCTTCCGTTCATCCTCGTGTTCTTCATGTTTTTTCCCCGGGATCCGCTCCTTTCGTGAAAGATCGGGCTATAGGGTCTCTACCCTACATCATCTTGGAATAGTGCACTATAGTACTTCAATAGTCTATAGTGGACAAGGTGTGGTTGGTACTATATTGGCGAAAAACAATTATCGGGAGCAATGAATCTAATGATGATACATGGACCTCCATGCCCCTTAATACAATATAATGGCATTTGTTCAGACCTCTAACTATTAGATTTTTTTCGGCAAAAGCGGTCAACGTATGTAGCCTCCAAGACAAGGAAAGCTCCATGTTTCCTTGTATGTTATATTGCTTTAGTCTTGTTGTGACTTTGCTCATCTTTTATACACTCCATCATTTATCATTTTTTCCCATTATTCCTTCTTGAAAGTAAGGCAAGTTCTATAGGACGGCGGTTCGACCCGCAATGTTGTATGGCGCTGAGTGTTGGCCGACTAAAAAGCGACATGTTCAACAGTTAGGTGTGGCAGAGATGCGTATGTTGAGATGGATGTGTGGCCACACGAGGAAGGATCGAGTCCGGAATGATGATATACGAGATAGAGTTGGGGTAGCACCAATTGAAGAGAAGCTTGTCCAACATCGTCTGAGATGGTTTGGGCATATTTAGCACAGGCCTCCAGAAGCTCCAGTGCATAGCGGACGGCTAAAGCGTGCGGAGAATGTCAAGAGAGGGCAGGGTAGACCGAATTTGACATGGGAGGAGTCCGTCAAGAGAGACCTGAAGGATTGGAGTATCACCAAAGAGCTAGCTATGGACAGGGGTGCGTGGAAGCTTGCTATCCATGTACCAGAGCCATGAGTTGGTTGCGAGATCTTATGGGTTTCACCTCTAGCCTACCCCAACTTGTTTGGGACTAAAGGCTTTGTTGTTGTTGTCGTTGTATTCCTTCTTGAAAGTATTTTAAGAAAGTGGAAAACATTCTGTTCGGGAGAAATCATCAGAAAAGCAAAAATTTCTGTATGTTGTTTTTCCATACTCATCTTTTCGACCCCTTCCTTCACTTGATCATCATTGTTTTGATGTTTTCACTTTTTTCTCATTATTATTTCTTCATGAATGCAGTTGAAGAAAGTTAGTTATTTAGTTTCAGAGGAAACATCTCATAAACGAACAAAACAGATGTCAGTTTCTCGCCTTCAGCAGATGAAAAATTACCGATAAGATGATGGTATTAGTTTTATCAGATCTGGAAGCTTTACTCTGAAGTTATATATTCTTTGTATGTTTTGCAAACACAAGCATGCCACATCGTCAATATCACCGATGCCTATTATAGAAACACTCGGCTATGCTTCCAGCACCTCAAAAGAAAACTTTGGTCCACCTTCATGTAAGAGTGAAAAACTTGGATGGAATCCGACAGGCCAATTGCAACAAATAAATGGAACTAGTAACAGCTTCATTCCAATGGACACATATTCCAACCCATATGAAAGCTTAAGTAAGTTGCACAACAAAGACGTATAAGATGAAACACAAATACTTCATATCGCATGCACCTTGCACGGTGTTGCCGGTGCATTCAGATCCCATGCGCCCTGGCAGTGGCCAGGTGCGTAGGTGGCGATATTGGGCTGTAGTCTAGTGCGAGTGGTGACTGTGGAGGCTATGGCCATGACCACCATGAAGTGGTGGATCGGTTGCGCAGCAGCCTGAAAGCGATCAGCGGTGAACCAGCATGTGGTGCGGCAGCGCGACCTCTACTCTTTGGCCGGCAGCTACGTCAGGGTTGCATCTGGCAAACTTCTCTGATCCCGACACAAGCAGAGGGCTTGAGCGGGATCCAATGGCACGTCGAGGGACACACGATGAGCCAGCTAGGACAGCAGGCACCGGTCAGCAGAGATGGTGGACAACAGTATTGGTGAATCAGCGCGGAGTATGCGTTTTCTGTGGGTAAAAACCCTTGGTCAGCCTCTTTGGTCAGATCAAGAAACATTGGCTTACGTGAGTCGTTTCCTTCCCAAGATGTGTAGCTCGAAGCTCCTCCGGGGGTGATAACCACAGGATTGACCTTTTATAAAAAAACTCAGCAACATCGACGTATGAGCTGCAATCCCTTCTTGACGGCGCGTTATCTTGGAGTATCATGTACATCGCTTAGTCCCAACTATTTTACCAGAGGAATATGGTCCCCGGTAATAGGTTAGTGGTAGATGATAGAGATGTTGGCTATCCTTCAGTTTTTCGTTTATTGTAAACCGTTGTGTTCAGTCTTGATACTTGGTATCTTTTTAATGAAATTATGGTTGTATGCATCTGAGGATGCAGAGGCCAGGAAGCTTGTCCTTCCTTTTCGGAAAAAAAAAAGCTTGATGTGTCGGAGGATTCTCCATGCATGATGCGCTATGATGGTGCCCACAAATGTGCAATCACCTGTTGTTGGAAAGTGCCTTTAGCATGGTCGGTTGGAGCAGCAACTTCCAACAGACGCTCTTCATGGGAAAAAAATTATAACCGCTGTGTGGCACATATGGGAAGTACAGGCCTGGCGCAGTGGTGAAGTACTCCCCACTTGTGCCAAGAGGTCCTGGGTTCAACACTGCCTCTCTGCACTGCACTGTGCAGGGGTAAGGCTTGCCTCGTATAATCCTTCCCCATACCCCATCTGGTGTGGGAGCTTCTAGCACTGGGTCTGTCCTTTTTGTGTGGCATATATGGAAATAACACAATGTGAAGATTTTAGACAGTGTCACGCCCAGTTGCCATGTCCATGAAACATTTTTTTAGGAGAGAATAGCTGGGTTGATTCTGTTGCCTATTTTTTTCGAGTCGCTGGTGTATGTAAACTGTTTGTACATCTCCACCCACCCCCACCCCCACCCCTCCTCTCCACCGTCAGGGCCTTCACTACAGTCTCCCCATAAAAAAGGTACATAAGAATTCAACCTGAAAGCCAGACATACCTCAAACATGTTCAAGTATCTTGTAAACAATAGCGGCAGAAACTTCTTCCATTCAATGGATCTGGAATTTTTTATGCAACGTGCTATGATGGCAGCCCATTGGATATCCCAGAAGTTACAATTTGTGACAGAGTCCCAAATGTGTAGACATTGTGCAATCCAATCACTACAAATCAGTGTCATAAGTTAGTTAAAAGAATAGATGTTTGGCAACATAAGGAAGCTCATTGATCAAATATGTGACCGTTTCAATTACGTCGTAAAGTGATCCTGGTTCCTCGAGTTTGCAGGAAGAAACAGCCTAACAAATCCAACACCTTCAAATGCTGAGTTATGCCATGGATTTTCCAGCAACGGCCTGTGGTTCCAATACAGTATCAGGTCAGGCAGTTCTATTTCGGCAGAACTCACCAAGCACAAATTTCCAGTTGTGGTGATAAGAAACGATTGATACACTTTGTGCTATTTTTCGAATTTATACAATACTAATAGTATAGAAAACAATAACATTGATAGTAGCAACAGAAGGAACAAAAAAACAGTGCAAATAAAACACAAGCATTCAGCTGCTTATGGATATTTCCTATAGGACTTATCATTTTTTTTAGATTCTATTGGGCCTATCATGGAAAAGGGACAGCGATAATCGCATCATAGATTTCTAAAATAGCAGAATCATGACACTCAAGTCTCTAACCTAGCACAGGTGTAGCATAGCACTCGGAAGTCCCTAAAGTTCACGCAGATCCCAAACTTGCATGGGCATTGTACATGTCTCCAAACTTGCTAATAATCTAGCATGTACCCAAATATGCATGGCTAAGCACCATTTCTCCATTAACAAACAGTATGAGAAGATATAGCAAGTGTTACCCTGTCGCTGATTAGAAAACTATGATTCCTTACCTTTTGGTTCCATAGTTGAGACAAGATAACTACTAGTACTACTTAGATATTAGCCTTAGGGAATAAGATAAAATTTGTTAGTGAAGATTGCTAGGAAAGTTTCAGCTAAGCGATGGATGCAAGTACATCTTGTTAAGGAAAGGAATAAATAAAGGTTATCTAGTCTCCCTCTCTTATTGAGCCGGTCCATCAAAGGACATGAGTTCCAAGTTGGATTTTGACAGGATTTTCACCAATTCGCATTTTCACCGGATAATATGCCAATGAATCAAGAAAGATCAAAGCAGCATAGAAGCAAGAATGCAGAAGTATGCGGGAAAAAATAAACACGGGTGCTGAATATGCCAAACAGAAACTGCCAAACCTGAATTCCAACCAAATCTCAGCAGCTGCACCTTCAGGAAAGAAAGTCCTAGAGGCATGTACTAAGCCGGTGATGGTCTCGAAGTGTTGCTGCCTTACTTTCCAGCCCTCAGGGCCCATGTTTCTGAAATAAACATGACATTCACCATGTTAACTCATGTAGTTCTTTCGACACCAGAAAATATGTGTGTTCAGAACTGTACCTCTTGAAATGGGTTTGTATCAATGTCTCGTAAAGCGGCCTCCATTGCACATCAAGTGAAAGTCTCTCCGCATGCTTTTTGAAAAGCCTGATGAGCAAACCTCCCCATTTTATCTGGTTACCAATTGTTTAGTGTATATCACCAAAGAACAAAAGATCTTAACTATACATAGATAAATCATTAATTGCAGGCCATTACCTGGACAACAAACTTATTCTGCGATGCATGAAATATTCCAAACCCAAGCTCTACAAGAGCATGTATGTCCTCAGGAGCAACGTCACTCTTTGCTTTGATAAAACTAAATCCATAAAAAATCAAACATCAACATTTGCTACATAAATCCTGATAATTAACCAAATTCAATTACATTGTTAGTATGTTACAACAAAAACAAGTTGTGCCCTTCCAAGTATAGCCTCACTTCAATATACAATTGAAATTGCTGTGTTAGAGAGAAAGGGAAAATGTGTGCCACATAACATAAAAGTGCCATTATAATCTCATGTGTACTTCAATATATTAACCAGGGTTATGAAGTGAAGGGTTTTGTATAAGGTCATGTTAAGAATTGTACATGTTTATCGTTGCATATTCATTAATTGGAGACTCATGTGGAGTCACGGCCTAATTCCAAAGACGATATCCTCCCAAGGCCCCACATAGAAAATAACTATAAATTCCCATGTAAATTAAACAATATCTGAGGCACTCACATATTAAAAATGAAAATCAAATCCATATATCTAAACTGTGTATTGTGTGTCTTAGATCTCATATATAGCCCATCAACTTTGCAGTTTAATTCATTGGCCCCATCAACAAAATAAATTATATATTTTACTCAAAGAACACATGTTCACAAAACACATGCCCAATTAATAAGTCATAGTCGTTATAATACTACTTCACAGATCAATCCAGAGTATTAATATCACAACCCAATACAATTTTAGAAAACACAACTTGGGCAGACATTGCATGTAAATCTGAATGAGACAGGCTATAACACAATTGGAAAAGCATACAGTGTAATATAAATATATAATACAGCTTTTATCGCAAAATAAATTAACTTTAAAGCACAAATAGGGCAGCCCGGTGCATGTAGCTCCCGCTTGCGCAGGGTCCGGGGAAGGGTCTATTGTACACAGCCTTTCCCTACATTTCTGCAAGAGGCTGTTTCCAGGACTTGAAACCGTGACCTCATGGTCACAAGGCAACAGCTTTACCACTACACCAAGGCTCCCCTTCCAAGCACACAAGCACATTCAAAATCATCTAAATAGAAACTGAATTGAAGCAATATGATTGCTTTTCTCTACCGTATGTAACCAAAGTAACTGTTCCGTATATTGAATGGAAATACTTTTACAAGAATCTTAGGTTTTTCTACAGATGTACTTCCTACAAATCAAATGTGACAACGACATTTTTACAATTTATATGTTTTGGAGTTGCTCGCGGTGCAGAGAAACAGGTTGAAGACTACTTTATCCAACTGTGACAAAATCATTCAAATTGAAATATACAAAGGGGCAGAATATAGTGTATATCCATCTTTGGGTACTAATCATCAGGTGGGTCACAGTCTATTAGATCGCATTTGCACTGATTATATTCAAAAGAAAGCATAAATAAATATTTACAAACAGACCCTAACGCTTCAGTATTTGCAAACAAACCAATGACAGACCGAGAGAGATAATTTCAGATGGACCCTGCCTCCTGGCATCCCTCAATCTGATCCACCAATCACATATGACGAACACCGCTACATGCTAGTGCCCAAAAGAGTTTGTAGTAGCTAATTAGCATCTCATGAACTAATTAATCATCAAAACTTTTGTTAAGATGCTAAAGATGGCAGGAAAAGCTCAGAAACGAGCTTGGTATTGGAGCTTAGGCCGTGAGCCTTGTGGCAAGTGTTTTACCCAAAAGCAGAGTCACAGTACAGAAATGTACGCCAACAACAACTAATTCTGACTATGTTTTCCAGTAGTGGACTCCATCGTACAAGCGCTCATCCCATTCACGGCTTAGCCGAACAAGCTCCAGAGAGTGGATGCCCAACAATTCCACAACCGCGAGCCCCAAGCTAACCCTTCACACAGTCATGGAAATGGAATCGCTCAAAACCTCTCCGGATTACGAGAGCAACGCGACTGGCGATTGTGCATATAAAATCCCAAAAGCAAATCGAATCGCACCGCATCGAATCGAATCGGTACGGAGGAAAGGGCGCGAGGGAATTACAGGTCGAACACGGAGATCCACTTGAGCGTGGCGTAGGCCGAGTCGGGGTCGTCGGGGCGCCACGCGTCCTTGGCCGCCCGCACCGCGCCGGCGAAGGCCGCCGCCTCCCCCCGCGCGGCATCCGCCACCGCCGGGGGCAGCCACGCGTTGTAGAGATGCATCGCCGCTGTGTGCTTGCGAAGCAAAGCGAGGCGAGGCGAGGCGGAAATGGGTGACGGGTTTCTGGTTGGGGTTTAATCGGGTAGAGAATTTATGAGCGGCCGGGTTCTTTCTTCGCCTCCAAGACGAGCGAGGGGGAGACGACGACCAAAGAGGCCAGAGGGCGACTTCGGCGACCGGTGCTCCGCGGCCAAGGCAGGGGGGCGCTGCTGTTATCAGTGACGCAGGCTCTGGGGCTGCGTGGACCTGGTGTACGGTGGACTTCTGAGTTTCTCTTTAGTTTAGAGCATCTCCAACAAACGCGCAAGGCTTGCGCGCAATAATGTCTTTACAGTGTCAAAATGATCAGTTTTTACGCATAGCTGAGCGCTGGCTCCAGTGACCGCCCCAAATATAGCGTGCGCGAGCCGCTCCAGGAGGCACTAAAAAAACGACGTGCGTGCCAGCACAAACAACATATGTACTTCAAACAAAACCAAAAAGATCAAACACATAAAATTAAATCAACAATAATAAATAATTCAATTTTATTACAACTCAAACAAATAGTTCATCTTTCAATACAACAAATAATTCAACAATACAACATCGAACATACAAATCATCATGCGTTTTGTCAACTCTCCCTTCTCAAAGAGGAAGAAAGCACAAGTAGTCAAGACCAAAACTGCACCGACTCGGAAAAAGAAAAAGTCTGCTGTTGCAGATGAGCCGGCGGCTAGGGGCGAGTCGCCACAAGCTGACAATCAATCAGAGGTAGAGCTTGACACCCTTGGCCATCTCCTTATTGGGCTTACTTACGCCTCTTATTCTTAGGGTGAAGTCGCCACAAGTTGGCAATCAATCAGAGGTAGAGCTTGACACCCTTGGCCATCTCCTTACTAAGCTTACTGACGCCTCTTATTCTCAGGGTGAAGTCACCACAAGCTGGGCTGATGATGTTGAGATAATTTCCATCTCCTCCGGCTCGGAATCCTTGCCTCCCAAGATCACTGGGCAGTTATCCGGCAAGTAAATTTTTCTCATCCGAATGCTCATTTAGACCTGAACTTTATTTTTAAGAAAACACAACACGAGTCGAGGCGCCAAACTCGAAGTGGCAGCTCTGGAGATCTAGTGGCCGGGTTAACTCATGAACCATCTGCTCGCAAGCGGCGTAACGAGGTGCCAAACAATCCAACTCCTTCTTTACCCAAAGCCGGCCTTGTTAGGCAGCCTCTTAGTCCTTCTAACTCAAATTATCAGGAGTCATCACCCTCATACGACGAGTCAACTGCTTCCAAGCGGCCACCTCTTGTCATTAATCAAGGGTAGACTTCTTTTATATCATGTACCACTTAATCATTCTTAGCATCGCATATATCATGTACCCAAGGGTCGGGTTATCATGTCAACAGTGAGCCGGTTATTTCCAATACATCCTTTATGAAAAGAAATGCCATGCAGCCCCCAAGGGGCGGCTCATCTTCATGAGAGGAACCGGATCTTTCCATAGTAGTATACCTTAAAGAATTAACATGTAGGCCCCAAGGGTTGGCTCATGTTTATGAGATGAGCCGGGTCTTCTTATAGTTTTGAAGGTAGAAAAAGGATATGCATTAGCCTCCAAGTGCTGAGTATATTGCTTGCAATTTGTTGGGACTTCTCCTTTGAAAGTGAATTGGTATAGCCCCCAAATGATGGGTTAGACATTGTTGCCGACTTACTTCAACATTTGTTAAATGACTTATCTCCTTATTCTGCGGGAGGCTCTAAGTACGGCCGAGTCAAATTTGACTGGCTTAAGAAAAAACTGTGAATCTGAGCAAGCTCTGTGAAGCAAGGCTGAATCAAGTTTGAAGTCCTCTCTGGAGGAGTTGGAGAAAATCAAGGCAGACTTTGAATCAGAAAAAAAAAAGTCTTTTGAAACTGAAAAGGCCGCCTTGATCCGACGTGCAGAAGCCGCCGAAAGCCAATTGGCACCGGTCACTGAGGAATTGGCCGGCTTAAAGCACCATATTACTCAAATGACCCAAACTATATTTGGTAAGTTATCCCACAACTTATAAAGAAAATTTAACTCACCTGGCAAGTCATGCATAAGTAATATCCCGCCTGGCGGCTCACATACCGAAACTTCTATGCAGGTGATAGAACTTGCGGCCTTTAGGATAGCGTCATGAAGCTGAAAGATGTATACTCTCTTACAAAGGAGTTATACACTAGAAGCATGCGGACCTTAAAGGCAGTAATGGGCGAAAAGGACTTGTCGCAATTCATAAAAGATATGTTGAAGAAGCTGAAGGAAATATGCCCTAGAGGCAATAATAAAGTTGTTATTTTATATTTCCTTATTCATGATAAAGGTTTTATTATTCATGCTAGAATTGTATTGATAGGAAACCTAAATACATGTATGGACACATAAACAAATACTGTGTTCCTAGTGAGCCTCTACTAGACTAGCTCGTTGATAAAAGATGGTTAAGGTTTTCTAACCATAGACAAGTGTTGTCATTTGATAACGAGATCACATCATTAGGAGAATGATGTGATGGTGTAGGATCGAAAGTATGTCTAAAGGAGGCAATTAGACTACTTGATCAAATAAAAATCTAGCCTTTTCCCAATTTTAAGTCTTGGCAGATTTTAGCAACTTAGCACAAGTCAAGCAATCAACCTACACATGCAAGTCTAAGAGTATAGCAACGGAATGTAAAACATTGCACGTGAAGATAAAGGGAGGAGTTTGGAGGGAGCAAACGCAATGTAGACACGGAGATTTTTGGCATGGTTCCGATAGGTGGTGCTATCGTACATCCACGTTGATGGAGATTTCAACCCACGAAGGGTAACAGTTGCGCGAGTCCACGGAGGGCTCCACCCACGAAGGGTCTACGAAGAAGCAACCTTGTCTATCCCACCATGGCCATCGCCCATGAAGGACTTGCCTTACTAGGGTAGATCTTCACGAAGTAGGCAACCTCCTTGCCCGTACAAACTCCTTGGTTCAACTCCACAATCTTGACGGAGGCTCCCAAGTGACACCTAACCAATTTAGGAGACACCACTCTCCAAAAGGTAATAGACGGTGAGTTGATGATGAACTCCTTGCTCTTGTGCTTCAAATGATAGTCTCCCCAACACTCAACTCTCTCTTACAGATTTGGATTTGGTGGAAAGATGATTTGAGTGGAAAGCAACTTGGGAAAGGATAGAGATCAAGATTCTAATGGTTGGAATGGAATATCTTGGTCTCAACACATGAGTAGGTGGTTCTCTCTCAGAAAATGAATGCTGAAGTGTAGGCATGTTCTGATGGCTCTCCTTATCAATGAAGGAAGGGTGGAGGGGTATATATAGCCTCCACGCAAAATCTAACTGTTACACACAATTCACCAAACTCGGTGGGACCGGATCAGAAAACTCGGTCGGACCAATTCAGTTCAAAATGTGAACGTTAGGCTTTTCGGTGGGACCGACATGTCAACTCGGTAGGACCGATTTCATTAGGGTTAGGGCATAATGTAATCTCGGTGAGACCGATTACACAAACTCGGTGGGACCGATTTTGGTAATAAGCTAACCAGAGAGTTGGTCAGGCAAACTCGATGGGACCGAATCGCTCATTTCGGTGAGACTGAAACTTTACAAAAGGGAAACAGAGAGTTTGCATTACGAACTCGGTGGGACCGATCACTTATCTCGGCTGGACCGAAATGTTACGAAGGGAAACAGAGAGTTTGCAATCCCATCTCGGTGAGACCGAGATCCTATAGGTGAGACCGAAGTGACTAGGGTTTGTGGCAGTGACTATGTCAAGTGAACTCGGTGGCGCCGGATAGAATATTTCGGTGGGACTGAGTTTGACTTTTTGGTTTGGGACATATGTGGATATGAGAAAGTGGTTGAGGGTTTTGGAGCATATCACTAAGCATTTGAGCAAGCAAGCCATTAAGCAACACCTCATCCCCTTTTAATAGTATTGGCTTTTCCTATGGACTCAATGTGATCTTGGATCACTAAAAGTAAAATGTAGAGTCTTGAGCTTGAGACAATATGTGTCCCTAGCATTTTGAGGGGTCCACATTCCTAATCCATGCCATGAAAATCATTGAACTTTCTGAAATGATCATCTTGAAATAGTATTAGTTCAATGAGCTATATGTTGTTAATAATTACCAAAACCACCCAGGGATAGTTGCACTTTCAATCTCTCCCTTTTTGGTAACTGATGACAACATATAGATCAAAGCTTCGACAAATGATAATAAGATTGAAATACATCATCACTTTGAGAAGTATGTGATAAGCAAGAGCTCCCCCTAAATTTGTGCACTATTTAAGATTTGCTTTTGAATGCAAATGCACAATCGATTAGGATCATGGGTCACTCTTCCATGTCACATACACCTTGGTGGAGCGCTCAAAATGATATGAATTAAAACATGCACTCATCACCAAGCAAAGTGAATGATCATATAAGGATATAAAGGATAATGTCATCCAAGCAAACATTAAAGTAGCATATGATCAAACACATGATCACACAAGTATCTCACACAGACATAGAGTATCAACCAAGCACACAATAAAGTTCAACCAAAAAGCAAGAGAGACAAAGAAGCAAAACACACTCTCTCTAAGCCTGTGATCTATACATTTCTCCCCCTTTAGCAACAAGTTACCAAAAAGTTCGGAAATGCATAGTGTTATGCGTCTCTCAGGCTTGGTCTTCGGGAGGTGAGGTAGAGAGAACTCCAAGGACAAAGGCATCAGTGGATGATGTTGGAGCTGGTGGAGTAGGTGTTGGAGGTGGTACTGAAGTTGTCGCTGGTGCAGATGAAGTAGTTCTTGTATCTGATACTGGCACTGCAGCTGACCTCTGACTCCTTGGCACACACTGAAAAGCATTCTTAGTTGCCTTTCCTCTCCTCTCCTCAGCTTCCTCCTGGAGCTGCTTGACTGCAGTCTATATCTCAGTCACCTTGAGGTCAAGATCATAGAACTTGGTCTCTACGAT